CTAGAAAGGCGCTATACAAGTCCAAGTCCATTTACCATTCATGAACATTACAAGGCGGAAAAAAAAATTACTATTTTTATCTGGAAATAATCTTACTGAATAACTGAAACTGAATTCTAAATTAAAAGTCTGTCATGGACTTTCCCCACTGGTTGCGGCTTGTTCATAATGAGTAGAAGCGAATATTAGTTACTCCAAATTCTCTGAGTATAGGCGCAGCCCTCTCAGGCTTATCAGTAGTGGGTTCATCCCTAACTCATGCAGCACAGAAGACTTTTAGTCTACATCCACTTACTATGTGGGCCCCATCTTGGTCTGACCTTGTGTATAAATTGAGCCGAGACAGGACAATCTGACAGCTTTTTCTTCAGCTAGTTAAATGAACCAGTGGGGCCCGCAGGTTATAGAATCTGGAGTTACAATAGGTCATTAATGTTCCGTTTCGTACAGGCTTCGCCCTGTAAGGCTAATGCCCCAGTGGGTCTGTCCAGTACCGAAAAAAACACAGCCACTTCGCCTGTCCTGGGTCTCTGTGGTTATATGATATTCATTTGAAATAGCTTACACCATCCTTTCAGTCTCTGGTTTCCTTGGGAAGTCCGTCTCAAAGATGAGATGGACAGTTGGATGGAAACCTAGCTACTAACAGCTAGATTTTCTAGCAGGTTGATCCAGAAGTACTACTTCTAGACAAGCAACTCCAAACCTTACCGCTGCCTCACTTAATATGTCATCTGAAAAAACCCAGAGGCAGCACCATTACTACACAAACTGCATGCAAACTCGAAGACAGGGAGGAACACGACAAAGACGAGAGGGAGGGGAGGGTAGGGGAAAGGGCAGGGGAGGGAGAGGGAGAGGAGTGTGGGTTACGGTGCAAGGTAGAGGGGGTGAAGATGAATCTCGGTTCTTACCATCCAATTAACAAGCTATCAGTTATCTGGAACTCTGAAAGTGAGTCCGAAAGTGACACAGACACCGAGACAGACCAGGTAGGTTGTGAGTCTTTAATTTTTAACTGAGATACCGCCACCATTTGTTCTACATTAACAGGAATACACCGAGTTGTGGGAGATTGGCTCAGGGGTCAACTATGATTCGGCTACTGGGAGTGATAATAGCCCGCCAGCACGTTAGCATTTCATGATAATGGGCTAAATGCTAACACTTTGAGCATACATTAAGGTTCTGTTGAGGCTCTGTTACAATGTGGAGGACCTGCTAGTTGTCAGTAAACAGTAGCATTTTTGTAGCATTCAAAACCAGAGTGGTGTTGAAAAATGATGTAGCACATTGTTAAGAGAAAACATTGTCAAAATTGGTTTGTGGATACTTCTGTCAAGTCCATTTATCTTCTTCACAGATTTACACATTAACATTAGCAGCGAGAGGCAAACAAAATGAAGAAAGGAGCACTGAATCAGCATCCTTCAGAGAATTGTCCAGAGGTTTAAGGCCGAGTGGAGGACTCGTTTTCTTTCTTAGCAGTACAGGAGAGAAGGTAAGGAGGAGGAGGAAGAGAGGGGGTTTGTTTTCCCGTTCACATCCAAAGAGTCCAGTTCTAGGACGAATATCCATGCGGCCACAGAGGACCTTAGCTTTACCATTACACTGAAAAGAGTAAAGACACACAGAGTTAGAGAAACGGAAGAAAGACTTTTAAAAAAAAAAAAAAAAACAAGTTCAGTTTACACAACAATGTCAATCTAAAGTCAACCACAGAGGCTATGCATGAGAAAGATGGATATGGGCTGCTGGGTAAGGCCAATGGTGAGAGCGCTATGAGAAGAAGCCTTAGTCATTGAGGAAATTGAGACACCAGTTTGGGAGCAGAGGGGTCTTCAAATTACTTAAATTTGGTAGTTTTTATTTAAAGCCTAACTACTTCTGCTAACACGAGAGGTATGAAGAGCACACAGAAGAGTGAGAGAGGGGGAGAGAAAGGAAGGATTAAGTGGTATCAAAGGAGGGGACTGATTTGGAGACCAAGCTTTCTGGCCAGAAGGGTAAAATCAGGCGAGGTAAGAGGTCACATAGGAGGACAGACTTGTAAAAACTGTACCGGCTGAGTGTAACCAAACTCTGAAGAATATAATGGTACATTTTATATGTACATGTTCCCAAACTAGAAATCCTGCAACATCCTACAGAGGAGGAGGGTTAATTGCAACTATGAAATTTAACTAAAGCCAATGTTTAGTTCCTAATAATTCTGAAATATCCAAATAACTTATAGCATCCTTTCTAGGGATGTCACGAGAACCGATACTTCAGCACCAAGTCAATGCCAAAATTCTTAAAACATGATGGTACTGGTTTTTCTACAGTACTGTAGGTACCGGGGGGAGTTCATGGGATTTATTGGGGATTATTATTTCTTTTTTAATATTGTATCATATCATGGAATTTTGCTGGTATTGGTAGACTACTAAATTTCTGGTATCGTGACATCCCTNNTGTGTGTGTGTGTGTCTCTGTTGTGTGTGTGTGTGTGTGTGTGTGTGTGTGTGTGAGTGAGAGACGGTTGCATTAATGGTCCTTCAGACAAACAGGTTAAACCACAGACCTTTATGAATGCAATTTAAGACCTATTTTATGTCCATACTGGCAAAAAAGTGCAAAGATGAAGGCACTGGTTCAATGCGTGTTCCACATTGTGTGTTCCATGATCAATTTAAAAAATAAAAAAAATCTCTAAAAACACTTTAAACAAGACTCCACAAGGTTAACTTCATTCCACAATCCACTTTTAAGGTCTAAAATTCTGATTGTGACAGTATCCAACTATAATCATAATCAATTTACAATTTCCCTTCTTAATTTTAGTTGACATATGGTATTGCAATAGGTTGTCATCTTCAATATATATTTTATATTCATATTTATATTGTATTTGGCTGTAACGGCTGTGACTACTGGCTGCTGTTGCAATCCCATAACTTCCATTTTAGGTATAGGCAGCTCTTATCTTAATTTCTGTGTACAACATTCAGTTAATGTCCTTCTCACCATCTAATCTTGAAAGTGCTCAAATGTTTAGTGATTAGTGTAGGAGTGAAATTACTACAAGCACAATCAAACCCATGCCAACATTTCCTTGAACCCAGGTCAACATTTCAGTGGAGCATTCAGAAAGTTCTCAGGCAGTGATCATGAAGGAAAGCGAAAGATCTGAGGACACAACTCACCCTCTTCCTGGTCCTTGCCTGCAAGCAAACAGGAACATCAGTGTAAGTTTCACATAGAAACAAGTCACAGCAACAGTAGACAGACCAGTTCACATCACAGTATACATCTTGATACCAGCAGTGATACAAGCCAAGTTGTTTACATGGTAGGTTTATCTCCTTGCACGCATTAGTGACTGTACACAGTGATTGTGCTGCTGATTATCAGTACACTGCCAAATAGCATGCTCTATTCAAAATTGGATCATCTAGATAATCTACAATAGAAAATGGGCAGTTGAGAGTCTGCCATCCAGAACAAACCATCGGTGATCACAAACAATGATAACGTACAGCATGCACACAGCCGGGTGCTGGGGCAGAGGATGTTTGTGTTTTGAGGACATGAGTTTGTGTTAAGGGCTTATAACAGAGGCGTTTGATTGGCTAATCTGGCAGAACTAAGATATATACTGGTTTGGATCCAAGATGCATTTTTGAGTATGCATCTC